TGACAACCAATAATAATAATAATAATAATAATAATAATAATAATAATAATAATATATATATATAATATATATATAATAAATATATATATATACATATATGTATATTTATATATATATATATAATGCAGACGTAGGTATGCTGTTGAAATATTGTTCATCCGTTCAAACGGGTGCGGTTTGGCGCAGCAATTTCCATCGAGGTTCTGAACCTCGGTTGTCGAAGATTTAAACCACACGTGTGACGATTCTCTGCTGGCCAAGCTTAGTTACCCTGCTTGCACGGTTGACAGGCTGTGGCCGCCTCTCGTCAATTTTGATGGCAACATCAGGCCTGACTTATGAAGATAAAAAATACATACTTGCGACGTTATAATAGCTTTATAATAATTCGCTACAGTTTGGGGCCCAAATATTTGTATAGAACCATAAAAAATATGTATCAGTACGTATTTGTAACTAAATTTTCAACTAAATAACGTTCGCGTTGCTAATGTTCTTGCAACGTTGTGTTAACGTCATTTTCTGACACACACCGTTTTTGAATGATATAATAACGTGTTCGGTTCTACTATTTTCAGTAACTTGACTAGGCCTAATCTTAATTAATTTAATTAGCGTATACTTACTAGTATTACTCAAATTCAACTACTGCGTAGGGATATACGTATGTATCATCGAGCAAAATACGATGGTCAGAAGGAACTCATATTGTAGTCCTAAGTTTCCTGCCTCTCTACTTTTTAAAATTTACCGTACCTTATTTTTTAATTCCTTGTATTTTTATGCATTATGTTGTTAGTATATCACGATGCCAAATATAAATAGAGTACTAAAAATATAACATTATGATAGGCCTATTATTCCTGTGTTCGATGTTGTTATTTACATTGTATTACTGTGCCTTTCACAGAATATAGAATAAGTTTAATACAATACATACCGTACAGTATGTCTACTTTTAAAATATATTATATATCTTTGGAACATTAAACATTAATGCGAAACTATTATTTTCTGTTAATAATCGAAAGCTCGCAATGAATTTACATATATTTTGCTTGGCTCATTATCAGTCAAAGGTTTACAGTTATTATTTTCTTTATAAATATTGTTCATAAGGTAATATTGCGTGTGGGATGTCTTGTATCGATGGCGTTACAGCTTAGTTATTGTTTAGCATAATTTGTAGAGGGTGGCGCTTACACCAAAGCAAACGACGGATTATCCCACATGATTATTACATGACGCGCTTTTCAGGCGGCTTTCAGTTAGTACACAGATAACAATTTTACGTTATAATAGTCATACGAGTCGCGGTCTAGTATTTAAAAAACGTTGTTCTTTTGTAGAACGTAATTATAACTAATGGCCCACACCAGTTGTTAATCAGTGACCTTCCAATAAAGTTTTGTCTTTGTGATTTTGCCAAGCCAATTTTTTATCATTCATTTTTTTAGTTTGCTCATTGTTTTTAATTTCTCAATATCTTATGGTATGGTATGGATCGATTCACATTTTCGTGCGCAAATGATACCCAAGAAACTAAAGACTGTCGGCGTTACAGCGTATGCGTTACATCGTATCATATCATGATGTACTTTTTTTTTTAATATATAAAAAAGGATCATTGACTTGTTCATAACACAACTAAATCAGATATAACACACAGTTAATTACTCATTTCATTGTTTTCAGTATAAAAATAATTCTGGAAATTAGTTTCTGGTGTTAGGGATGAACTAACCATTGTGATTGTACGAAAAAATAACATTTTTGAGCTTCGATTTATGTCATCACGGGGTCAGCAACAGTGGCGTATGTAGAGGTGCTCGAAAGGTGGCCCCCACAGTCGCCCCAAAAAAGCACTTGCAAGAAGTTAAAATTCACCTTATTTTGCGGGTTGAAGCCTTCAGCTGATTGATTGATTTTATTCAATACCACTACATACACAAAAAAACAAAGCAAGCAATGAAAGGGAAGGACATGCTACTAAGGACGACCCAGAAAGGAAAAAAAGAAACCTTATTTCCGTTGGTGTCCTTACAACTGATCATCGAGCCCCCCCCTCCTCCCACTTCACCTTCGGGGGAAAGCCTCAGAATGATTCATGACTTTTTTTTTGGGGCTCCAGACTTTTGTCTTGGTGATTTTGTTGCTTTTGGGGGCCCAATGGCACTTGTCTGAATAAAAAAAGTGAATTGAAATGTTTTACATAATAATAATAACAAAAATAAACACAAATAAATTACCAATTTCACTATTATTCAATAAAACCATGGTGCAAAATATTGTTTTATTTTTGCTTCCTCTCTTACATTCATTAAGTCAAAAACTGCAAAGAAACTGTGACAGCTAGCATATTATGACAAAACAAATATAAACTAAGACCTATAAATATTTAATAAATTTGAGGTAAAATCTTAGAAACAATTACTTTTTACTTGTAGAGCATTTTCCTTGCAATTACGAAACATTGTTAACTACTCTCCAAAATAAATTATAAAAAATCCCCCATGGCATGTCCTCCCAAAAAAATTTGCGAGGAAATGCCTCTGGATCCCCTGCAGTGGTGTTATCTCGATCTGCCCTCACCTTTCTGGATCTGCCCCTGAATGTCTTTTGTTATGTTTTATTATGAGATAATTCTTTTATTGTGGAATGTAACACTGCTAAAATCAAGCCAAATTAATCAATCTGGTCTATGACAAAGAATGTATTATATATAGAATAGAATATAGATATAGAATAAATGTATGCATACAATTTGTATAATAGGCTAAATTGTTTACAGGACTTGACCTTTGACACCATATTATGCACAGTTGAAACTATGGGAGGGCTTTTTGATCGATATGGCTTATTTTATTCATATGATTTTGCAAATAAATATCCTAAAAAAGTGCAATTGAATTATTTACTAATAATTAACTATTAAATTAATAGTGCATACATTACTTCTACAATTTTTATAACTTTGGACGGATTTAATGGCAAGCTGTCACATAAACACAAACTATAAATCCACAACATCAATTATTACAAATATTACACTTTTTAAAGAAACTAATCCATCAGTAATATAGAAAAGAACATTCTTATTTATATATCATTTAAACATAGGTGTGCTGTTCAGCATAAGAGAGCCTTGTCAAACTGGTTTGCTATTTAAACAGGTGCAAGGCAAGGAGATATCTCTTCACCCCTCTTGATTGGACGGGTTGAAGGCACCAGATGCAGCCTAATACTTTCAAGGGGTTCGGGGAGGGAGAAAACTTAAATCTATCAATTTTACCAAGTACAAATGGGAAGTTAGCTCTCCTTGCAAAATAATTCTACTTTAATTTACCAGTATAAAAATGTGTAAAGATTTATAAAGTCTAACTTATAAACAGGATAAATCAAGGTGATCTTGCATAAGAAACGAGATATTTGCATTCATATGTTTACCTAATTTACTTTTGATCTTTGTAATATTGCAGTTATTATATATTAATGTGACAGCAAAAAAAGAAATAAAAAAATAATCAGTAAATTTGAAGTATGGAAGCATAAGTCAAAAAATGCCACTTTGTCATGCCTGTGGAATTTAAAATACAGTTGAAAAAAAATAATTCATGTACATTTCAAGGTGGCTTAAGTACAGTTCGCCCTCTATATTTGAGACCACCTTTGGGACCTGAAAATTTAGGGTGGTCTCAGGGTACGGTCTCAACATAGAGGGTTAGCTTAGTGTTAATAGATTAAGGATTGTCATTTGGTTCTTAAAAAAAAAGTGGTCTTGAATTAGAGGGGTCTTGATTTGGATGGTGCATTGTATACAGTATGCAGTACTGGAGATATCTTTGTTGGTGATTCTTGTAAGGCAGTTCAAAGGTCAAGTGCTGCAGCAACAGAGGGCTACGGCCCCATGTCCAGCAACCCCATGCTGCCTTAAATAGATTGTGATATTAAGTGCAACTTAGGAGAACAAATGATAAAAGGCCAGGCCCTCAGTCTGGACCTGTGAGCCTCTGATAACCTAGCAGAGCAACTACAGGTCCTTTGTAATTTTGGGAGTTCTCCTCATTTTCTTGGTGAGGCTAGCGGAGTTCTAGGCATGCTGAAGAAATTGCTGAATGCAGACTGTAGCATGGAGGCTCTCTGCATCTCTTCTTCACGTACACGTAAAAAATCCTCCTCCTGCGACCTCAGTGTTTGTTGTAACGTGGTGATTCTGTTTTCCCTGTCCTGAATCTCTGACTGGTATTTCTTGCTTTGATCTGTTGAAATCAAATGGTATAAAATAAATGTTGCATTGTATATCATTAAAAAAGAGCTGTGGGTTGGTGCCAAGCATCTCCAACCTGAAATATATGATTATATGATTTGGTGACACAATCATTTAGACAGATTAATAAAATTTACTACATAAAATAATAAAAACATAAAAAAATGACAGCAGCAACAATATACAAACATTGACAATGACTAGGACAGCAAGAACGATGATGACGACACGCAGAACAACTAGAATTACTCCTTTTACACTACGCAGAAAAAGCATCACCTCCCTGCGGGGCAATTTTTCCCTAGTATAAAATTTTTTAATCTTTGAATTTAGAAATTAGCAATTAGCTTCTTCTTGTTACAATCTTGCATTCTGCAAAAATCAATTTAGCGACAAAGAAGGCGACAACAATGACAATGCCGACAGCATGAAGAAGAACATGGCTAAAAACAATAAGCCTTCCCTGAGCTTCGCTCCTTCGGGGGAGGCTAATGATGTATATACTGACCGTTAAGCTGCTGTTCTAGCTGTTCGCATCTGTCCTGGACAGCGTTGTAGTTGTTAAGCTGAGTCTCTAGCTTACTCATCTGTTTGCTGTGGTTCAACTGCACTTTGTTCACTTCTGCAATAGTTTCATTGGTTTTACCTGCAAGTTCCTGCATAGAAAATATAAAATGTGTAAGTGCCAATCATGTCATACTTTATTTCACCATTATGTCATCGTTTAGCATCATTTACTTGGGTTGTGAAGCAATTAGGAGGCAAAAGGGTCACTTCTCACCCAAGCAACATCTGAAAATTCCCTAAACAACGTATGAAATCATTTAAGAGATTAAAATGGCTAAAATTCCAGATCTTCAAAGGGAAATAGCCTCCTGCACCAACTCAACGAACCTTACTGGTAAGACCTGTCTTTTGGATATTTTTGCTAAGGTTAGCTGCGTAGACTGAAGCAACGTAGATAAAGTGCCTTGCTCATGGACACGTGAAATTCACAGTGAAGGATTGAAACCCCAACCTCAAGGTTTGAAAAAGAAGCCCTTTCCACTACGCCAAACCGCACTCTGGTATCGACATTCTACACGCCCCGCCCCTACATGCTGATCGTCTCAAAAACCATAGCAACCAGACCATAATAAACCATGATTACAAAGGCTTAATAATATTTTGCACTAACATTAGACTGAAATTATATTCGTTATTTCAACATTAATTTTATCAATGTTGTGGTGTATTGTCGTTCATCAGACTCACTTCGCAGAAAAAATAAATAAATTTTCTGTTTCTACTCAAATGTTCGTTTTGTGCACCCTAATCCAACATTGTCAAAATGACAGTTTAATGTTATATTAAGGTATCTATATTTCAGAAAATCAAAATCAAAATACTTTGGCAGCACAAGGCTGAATTGTGATAAAATTTACAAAGAGCAAGTCAAAGTATGAAAAACAGACTTAAAATTACAGGACAAAAACAGATTTACACCACAAGTTATATAAGAACATGAAATAAACTAATAAATTGACAGCTGTACTCGCAACTACTGTAGTATTGAATTGTCGATGCCACAGTAAAGATCAATGGACTTTACGCACGCGCTATGTTCGAGAGTGGAGATGTGCGTCCTTTGTTGAATTGCCTTGCTCTCACCTGATTCAGCTCCTCCAGTTTACGTTTCAAGGACTCTATTTCAAGGGTTGCATTGTTATATTTAGCCTGATACTCCGCCGAGCTCTGGCTCTGTTGCGATGCATATTGTTGTAAGTCGTCTTTGGCATTTTGCAGTAAACGGATCTTGTCCTCTAAATATTTGCTCCGTTGTTGCTGAAGAATGAAGAAAAATACATGATTGGTTAATTAATACAATTTGAACATTTCTAAATTAGGCAAAAACAACATTCAAAATGGTAGTTGGCCAAATACCAATTACTGTATATTTGTTGTTGTAGCAATTGTGATTCAGTCTTTCCACCTATAAAAGATATATTTTTTTCTCGCTTTGATAGGGGAGAGTCAAAGGAGGAGTTCTAATGTAGAATTTTTAAATGTAGCAATAATTATTAATCATCATCAAATTAAAACTAAAATAAACTGAAAACATAAAATATTGAATAAATAACTAACCGTACATTTGTACATTTGTTTATTTGCTTATTTGTCTATGATGTTGTTAAGTACTTCGAGGTTTTGACAACATGAGGCGCTATATAAATCCCAGAATTATATTATTTATTATTATAGCAATAATACAAATTTTCCAAACTGACCAGTCAGTATTCAGCCACAAATAAATAATAAGAATGCTACAAATGCATTTCAAATGCTGCCCTCTAAAATGCAAAAACAGAAGTACACAAAATAAACTTAATCAAATGCTGTCACCTAGAGGCTGCTAAATACATAACTATTAGGACATTAACATAACTATTAGGACATTAACAACATTGCAACACTACATAGGAAAACTTTAGATAGAGCAGGGTGGAAAAACATCATAAAAAGCTGTCATCTCCAGGACCACTCTTAGGAGGACGACATAAAATAAGTAAGGGTTGGTTGACCTGACAATCAACTGACCTCCTCCTCTTTGACACGTTGCTTAGCCTGCAGGACCTGGTCTTCCATTGCCATTCTATCAGTGACCTGCTGAGTCTTCTGACGGCTGACCTCCTCTTCCAGCATCAGTCTTTGCTGCTCCAGTTTTCCGATTCTTTCCTTGTAAGACTTCTCGCTGTCATCCATCTGTTGCCGGAGGCGCATCTGTTCCTTGTCGTGCCGTGTTTCTAAATCACGAGTTGCTTCTCGTCCACGTTGTCTCTCCTTTTGTAGTTTTTCTAAAAAAAAAAAAAAAAAAATTTACATTAAAGATTTCTTAATTTCCTTCTTGTTGCGATAGTGGAGATTGCATTATCAGGAACGCACGATTTGAACCCAGTACCCTGTAACTGGAAGAAAAGCTATAGCTCCACCAACCACAGTCACACTCGCCCCTTAAAAAACTTTCCTCCTACAAACTCGCCCCTGACTTTACACAGTAGTCCCTACAAATACGAGCCCTATCAAACTCGCCCCCCTAAAAAACTCGCCCATTAACAATCTCGCCCCCTAACAAATGACTTAGTTCTGCAGAGGCGAGTCTGCCAAGATGGAGGGGAGGGGTGTGAGTTTGCTGGTTCCCATTGTACCTTGTTTCATAAATACCTTCATTCTCAGTGTTGCGGACCTTTAGTTCTGCCTGCAGCTCTGAATTGTCTTCTTTAAGACTGTAAACTTGGTCTTGAAGTTGGTGGCATTTTCTCTCCAGTTCCTCTATCTTGTTTTCCATCTGTTCGTTCTTATCTCTGTAACTTGAAATTTCTCTGGACAATTTTGATTCTGTTAGGAATCTTTCCTGAAAACAGTAAATAAACCAATAAAATTTCCCATTTGTGGAAAAGATGGGTAATCAGCATATTAAAATAAAATATTTTATACTGTAATCAGAATAGGCTAGGAATGACCAAACAGGTGCAAAACACCATATAATTACTACTATTATTACTACAGTATATAACTACCATTCTCATCAAGTGCCATTATCAATATTCTTAATGTTTCTTTTCATTGTTATTGCCACTATCTCAGTCAGTACCATTACAATTAATTTTATCATGACAATTATATATTATAGACAAAATATTAATAGAATAAAATTAACAAACAATACCTGAAAAGTAAAATTTATAAAACAAGTCGTATCATCAATAATCAAATGCAATTAATTTTTAAAATTAATTTTTTACCCTAAATTCTTTTAAAATTTCTTTCGACTTCTCAAAAAAACCCCTAAAAAACTCAAACAAACCTCTCTTTCATGGTTAATTTCTTTCTGTTGTCCTGACATCAACTTTGAATGTTCATCTTTCATATGATCAAGCAAGGCCGCTAAGTCTTGTGACTTTTGTTCAGCCAATGAGAGCTCAGCTTCAGTCATTGACAACCTAATGTGCAAGAAGGGACACTCTCATTGGTTTGGTAAAATAAACAAATTGTATTTTATTTGTAAACTGGATGAGCCCCTTAACTTTTTTTCATAAGATACAGTATCTTCTAAGTTGAGATTGATAAAATTCTAGGCATAATACAAAATTGAGTACCTGGCCTAATAACAAACACCTGCTCGTACAGCAAATATATTTCTTATCCCTTTAAGGCCTTGATTAATTTACAAATTATTACTTTATTATTATTAAATTATTACTAAATTTACATATGTATAGCAATTCTTACTTGGCCTGCAATGAATTGAATGCTGTCTTTCTTTCTTCCAATGCCTCCTGTAACTGTCTAATACGTTGGCCTGTGTTTCTCTGTGTTTTCTGTAACTGTTCTTCTTGTTTATCGATCTTTGAGATAAGATCGCCGACTCGTTCCCGCTTCTCTTTCTTCAGCTGCCGGATTTCCCGTGTAAGCAATTCCTGTCGACTTTGATGTTCCTGAGTTAGGTTGGACCTGCCTTCATTATTCATCCTCACAACATCTGAGAATGAGGAAGAGAAATGCATATTATTAAACACTTGCAGGGGCGTAGGCTAGCTTCGGCCTGGGGGGGAAAAATGAGAATGAGGAACTAGATCCCAGACTTTGAAACTAAACACCTATCACAATGAAAACGTAATGGTCATTTAGTCATTTTATCCCAATTGGTGGAACTAATTTTGAGACATTGTGGGAAGGGGGGAGGGGATAGATATGTGGAACTAAATCCCTATCACAATGAAAAACGTAACGGTCATCTTTAGTATTTAAACCCACTTGGTGGAACTAATTTTGTGCCATGGGGGGGGGGATAGATATCTTTGCACCCTTCCCAGCTTACGCCTGTGACTTGTGAGCAACACCTTGTCAAAAACAATAAATATCCCAGGTTACAAATTATTACTTTATTATTATTAAATTATTACTAAATTTACATATGTATAGCAATTCTTACTTGGCCTGCAATGAATTGAATGCTGTCTTTCTTTCTTCCAATGCCTCCTGTAACTGTCTAATACGTTGGCCTGTGTTTCTCTGTGTTTTCTGTAACTGTTCTTCTTGTTTATCTATCTTTGAGATAAGATCGCCGACTCGTTCCCGCTTCTCTTTCTTCAGCTGCCGGATTTCCCGTGTAAGCAATTCCTGTCGACTTTGATGTTCCTGAGTTAAGTTGGACCTGCCTTCATTATTCATCCTCACAACATCTGAGAATGAGGAAAAGAAATGGATATTATTAAACACTTGCAGGGGCGTAGGCTAGCTTCGGCCTGGGGGGGAAAAATGAGAATGAGGAACTAGATCCCAGACTTTGAAACTAAACACCTATCACAATGAAAACGTAATGGTCATTTAGTCATTTTATCCCAATTGGTGGAACTAATTTTGAGACATTGTGGGAAGGGGGGAGGGGATAGATATGTGGAACTAAATCCCTATCACAATGAAAAACGTAACGGTCATCTTTAGTATTTAAACCCACTTGGTGGAACTAATTTTGTGCCATGGGGGGGGGGATAGATATCTTTGCACCCTTCCCAGCTTACGCCTGTGACTTGTGAGCAACACCTTGTCAAAAACAATAAATATCCCAGGACAATAAATTTAAATGAGTTAGATTTGTCATTGGATTTTTTTTTTTTCATTAATGTTATTAATATTCATAATAATAAGGTTCCAACTTTAGTACAAGCAATAAATATTTTTGTAATTAAACAAAATCATAAATTAATGCAAAAAATGGTACTGTAAGCACAAGCTTTAGAAATGGAGAAAATCTTCATTTACGATGTTGGCACTACATGTAAAAAATAATTTTACTTACCAACTGCCCTTATTAGGTCTTGCGGAATATTATTGCCATTTAGATCAATTTGAATAATTGTCTGATTATGTTGTAATCCATTCAATATAGAGCGCCCTCCTACTATACCTAAATTGTTCCATCTCAGATCTGTGTTAATAAAAACAATTAGAAATATGGATTTTAAATAAGAAAAACACCTCTCTCATTTGTATGTTCCAATTGGCTAATTTGGTACTGAGATAATTTATAAAAAATGACATGTTCTTTGTGAAGGGTAAAAAATATGCTGCTGGTTCTGTGTAAGTATCATATCATAATATCATTTATTTCATCTTCAGTTCAATACGTAACAGAAAACAACAATAATAAGGAAAAACAGAAAAGAAATAATGCTAGCTAACACCAGACTGGATTGCTCAAATGTGGCTTTTGGCTACCAAAGCGCCGCTAGCAACAAAATAATATAATATGAAACATAATGGTAAAATAAGTTGTTTCATGTTAAAAATATAATATTTTATCGATAAATCAGAACTTTATATAGGCCTACATGTTTAAAATTTGTTAGTATTTACAATTGTTAGTTCTCAACAAAGTGGTTTTTAAGTCGATTAAAAAATATGTTTATGAGTTTGTCTCTTATGCGGGGGTAAGAGTTAAAGACTGGGAATATTAATGAGTTTGCCTTGGCAAATGCATGATTGAATTAAATTTGGTCAGCATGCCTGTGATTAATGTTAATGTACTCAAATATGTTGAAATTTAGATGGATGCATTTAGCAATAAAATGTTAAAATAATAAATTAAAACAAAAAATTAAAACATTAATTTCATTTCTACAAGTCATTCAGAGTAGGATAGAGTTCATGAAGAAAGATTACATATGTTATGTGATGTGCTTTTTAAGGAGTATGGTCCAAGCTGGTAAACCGTATTTAAGTATGGGTCTTACTTGCGCTGAGTAAAGTTTGCTTAATAAAAATTTATCTCTGCTTTGTACGATACACTTTATACTGTAAAGCCAAACGTCTTACTGGCTTTTGATTTAGTTACCAGTACATGATCGCTCCATTCGAGTTTTGAATTAGTGGTAATAACTAAATATTTACAAGCTCATACAACATAATGGATGGGCACAAAATTATGATATAATTTCACTTTACCAAGAACTTTTAGAGTTGAATTCTTCTGAAGCACCATTGCAAGCTCACCAGCAGAATCATGACTCATCTGATTGTTCCTCAGATCAAGGACCTCTAAGCAGTTATTGATGGTGAGGCCATCAGCAAACATTGCAAATGCATTGCCATCCAACCCAAGCGAGTTCCACTCAAGAAGGAGCCTATTGAAGGTGCAGGAAATTATCTTTACATTAAAAAAAGTTGTAATTCATTGAAAGATTAGCAAATTTCATGTGGACTTGTCTCCAAAAAGCTGATGGCATAATATACTATGTTCAGATTACAGATTAAAATGACCCAATTGCCCATTTCTTATCTAGACCTCCAACAAGGCTTCTTGTCTGGACCCTGTCAGAAGTTGTCAAAGACTATTATTGAGTAGCTTTGCTCTTCCCTCCCCAAGAGTATACTAGAGCAACAACGTGAAAGTGTGTTGACCACATGTTGTGGTAGTAGGTCTTAGAGCAACAAGAATTGATTAAATATCCTACTTTACATTTCCTACCTTTTGATGTTGTGATTGTGCCTCAACAGCTGCCCTAGAGCCTCAGTACCACCTGATCTGATATTGTTTCCTTTCAAATCAAGAACTCGCAATGCTGCATTTTTTGACAAACCTTCAGCCAGCAACTTGATACCTAAATTAAACAATAACAATGGCAACAATGTTACATTCAATATTTTTCAATTGCCTTTGCTTATATTATTCAGCTGCCAAATTCACCAAATATCAGCTTTAACATGGTAATTTAAAACTCAATCATTTTGGGTTGGAATGCACTTTTCAAAAGTAAAGTATCAAAAGTATAATCTCGTAATTGCAGGGAGGATGAGCCACCATTTGACAGGACACATTCCCTCTCTGCCCACACAGGCTGCTGGCTATGACTACCTACCTACCAGAGCACCCTGACACCAACAGGAAACTAGAGGTCTTTTCAGACACACTGGTGGATAGCTTTAAACCCTTGAATGTGTAAGAGTGGTGGGGCACAGCAGTTGCATTTCTGTTTCTCAATATTGAGGTCAGAGGTTCAATCCCTTACTGTGTATTTCACTTGTGTCTTTAACCAAGACACTTTACCTACAGGTTGTCCTTCTCCACTCCAGGAGTACGTTAAATAAATAAGTTGATTTATGAGACATACCCTCATCACCAATCATGCAGTCAGATAATCTCAGTTCTGTTACCATGGTATCACTTGCAAACAATCGACTGAACACTGCACATGTTGGCAGGGACAGACTGGTTGTTGATAAGTCTACCAGACTGCCTGCTCTTTGAGAGGACTTCGACTGTTTTAACGAGACTCTTTGCTGCAAGTTTGACAGCACGCTCTGTTGAACTTCAATACGGTGCTCATTACAGAGTCGTAGATAAGTCTGCTTAATGCTATCCATTTCCTAGATAAACATAGATGCAAATGAAAGATTTGTTCATTGTACAACATAAAACAGATTCAGACAGTGTAGGTCTATATATTTATAATTTTAGTACAGTATTAAACAATTAGAACAATTACAAACAATTACTGTAGTAGGCTAGTTGAAATTGTTGGTATTCCTAGCCTAATTAATATATTACTTAACAGCATGGATGGGGACAAGTTTGAGAAACACCCAGGTGGAATACACAGGGAGTTGTTTAACAACTCCCTTAACTACCTAGCCTAGGCCTACATACCCTAGCCTTAGAGTAGGCTTTCAGCTAGGCCAAAGACTTGCTCGGCGTGCAAACCTAGGCCTAGACCTCTATTTCTAGATAGAGTACCACCACTACTAGCCTAGGCCTAGCCTAGTGGCACCTTTATTATTTACGTTGAGTAGAATTAATTTAAAAATACAAACATTTCTGGGCACAGGAAAAGCCTTTATTTCATCGGTAGGACATCGCTAGAGTCTCGGCTTATTTGCTACTTTAATTCAGAGCTTGCAAAAGGAAAGTCGAAAATATTTTGTTTGCCGAGGATGAGTTGATGGCAAGTAAACAAACTTGAAAACGATATAGCGCCACCTTTCGGCCAGTTAAAATGCCAACTTTTTTTCGTTATGTGGTGCTGCGCTTTTATTTATTTAAACATCATTTAAAACTTTATGCTTTAGTAAAGTCGGTTATTATGTTTTAGTTGATTGATGGAAATAGAATTATAATTTTTTCTGGACAATTAACAGACACATGGTGAGGAATAAAGACATAATCTTGCAATGACATTTGTTTATAATATTTATATTATAAGTTTTGTAGTAGTAGTAATAATAATAATAATAATATATTTATTGTAAATTTTATTGAATTATTGAATATTAGCAAATTATAAATATATAACATGAAATTTAATGGCTGTTATTGATTATTTATATACCCAATTTTAATATTTTTCTATTTGGCAATAATAAAATCATTTTAAAGGATTTTTGTCGTAATTTGTAATAATTTAAATACTGTACAAAATATGAATATTAATTTTAACATGTGGGTGACTTTGCACTTGTATAATCATTTATTTTGTAAGCATATGCCAATGGAAGGTGAATTTCCTTATTTGTATTTACGAGGGCAATAAAAGGTATCTATACTATCTCTTTATTATTGGCATAGTAAATGTTTTTTCAATCCAATTCTGATAATTAAGTTTTGTCCCATGCAGAAGTTCTGAAAATGGTCTTGTTTTAGAAATGGTTAGTTACCACTCAACCTGATAAAATTTTAAAAAATGTAACATGTCATTATTTCTTTCGTTTTAATCTGATTCTGATAGCGTTGTTTTCGTTCTCATGTGGATGTTTCTAAAATGAATAGCATCAGTTGGTTTTCTCTCAAAAAATCCATGCACTTACAGATATCAATTCAGTCAAACAAAATAAGGCAAACAAAACTGATCTTCATAATACTGTTGTATTTAATCAATTCTCCATAATCATTGTGAACTGTTTATAAAATAATGTCAGTTTCAGATCCAATAATTTGAAATAGAAGGGGGCCAGGGAGGGATCTTCATAAATGGTTGGGGATCAGGTAAGAACACTGATGATTATGGCACCTGTAGATGGCTGGAAATAGCACTCTCAGCGGTAAAATTTGAATACAATTTTCTTTCTTTCTCCATTTTTAAAATTTTATTTTGGGAAATTTAGCGGGATAAGGGCCAGCCTCCCTCCCTCCTTGAATCTGCCACTGAACATCTATATAATTTTACTTTGTCTCTCAGGTTCCAAAGGCAAGTTTTCTGACTGGCAATCAGTATACCATTAAACCCCTGGCGGACAACTCCAGGGAAGAAAAAAAGTGTGAACATGCACCAGCGGGGTTGCCAGGGACCCCCCCCCCCCGTCGGGGAGAGAAACCACAATTTGTTAGGGAGGGAAAAAAATGTGTATGTATTTTCTACATATTAGTAGACCCAAAATCAATTAAATAAGCATTTAAAACTCCTAAATTGTCATATATCCCTATGGAACACTTTCGAGAGATTTTGAGCTACGCTCGACCATGCCCACTTTTTCATTGGGAAAATCCCCCCTCTGGTAAATCCTGGCACCACCAGGTATGAGTATCAATTAATTGAATAGGCGTGCCACCTGAATAGGGGTTATCCGTAGTGTTAACAGATATACTTTCCCTATGTTTTGTAGCCGAAAAAGTCTCCCCTTAATAGGGATGTCCCAAAGGAGGGGTTCTACTGTATTCCAATATTATTCTTAATGTATTTAAGCTTTAATAGACAATTATAGACAGTGAAACAAAATTTATCTCTGGACTTAGCATATACTGTACTATATCCACAAAAAATATATTATTCATTGTTTTAAATTATGGGGTGAGCCATGCACTTGCTCACGGCTCACTCTTATCACTGACATTCAAATAAATCTTTATTCTAATAAGTTACATAATTACATTATTTCTACATCTTATTTTTAATTATCATTGAGAAGCATAAAATATAAAGATAATAATAAGTTTATTGTAGGATAATGCACAGTGATTAACATTAACACAATAACATTACTGTACAGTACTTAGGGCATGTAGTAGCCTAGGGCAATTAGTAGCCCAGTCTATCTTAAATGGTATGCTTTGCTTATGTGTCAATCATGTCTTAGTGGATAGGTTCCTTCAGAAGTATAGCATACAATTTGTAAGACACTGCTCAATAATGTTACTCTTCCCATGTAAATCATGCATATTACAGTGCTAACTACAGCTGCACTTGCCTAAGTCGAATCCAAAATGCCCTTGAAATATTGTTCGACTTAAATAAAATTCAACTTACAGATTGTTAATAAATGGAAAACACAACAATTTGGCATGTAAAATTAAATTGACTTAGAAATTATTCGACTTAGGCAAAGTCGACTTAGGCAAGTTTAACTGTATACAGGATGTAAATGAGCCCATGGGCGAGAATGGGGGCTGGGGGGGGGTTTAATCTCTGTCAAGTTTCATGTAATAAATGTGTGTGATATATAGGCATGATGATGTCATAATCACACCCATATATTGGCAAATCACACAGATATTTTAAACATAAAATTTTAGAGTATGTGACATGCCTAAATATGGTCATGATGACATCACATCATGACCATATATAGGCACATCATGACTATATATGGGCACATCATGACTATATATGGGCATACAACAGTTTTTTGTCAAAGAAAATTTGATAGTGTGTACAGAGCTTTATGAATGGGTAGCAATGTTTGATGTGAGCAAGTGAGACCGATACTGTCTGCTGAGCCCGGTTTGCCAGAATTTTAGGAGTTGCTTATCTGACTCCTCTGTCTTCATTATCTTTAGAAGACGCTCCATCTCTTCTTCACTTCCTGTGCCTGATCGACTAAACTTGTAAACAACCTTTACTTTGCTGAAAGTAAAGAGATAAAGATAATTGTAGACATACAAAAAGTGTATCTGTTAAAATGACACAATTTTAACAGATACACATTTTGTATCTGTTAAAATGACACAATTGATGAACTCTTTTCAGTTGTAGTGTGTTGTCTTGCAATTGGCGTATGTACACTACAATGACACAGTACATCTTTCGAGACGAGTAGGGGGTTACCCCGGTGTACTGGTCCATACAGCCCCTGTTGTGGACAGATGAGAGTAGCTGGTACCGGTTTACAGGGTAGCTCAAACACAAAGGGACTCTTTGGGGAGAAGAAACTTACTGTACGAGCTAGTCCACACCTCCATACTGCAAGTACGATGATTCTCACATCAGAGAGGCCTGTACTTACCGGAAGATAGCTATATAGATAGATATTGTATTGTCCGAAGTGTAGAGTTAGGGAAGAATTGAAAATGTATGTGACCAATAAGATGAACTTTGAACTTTATATGCCACCACCATACAAAAGTAAAAATTAAAAATCTTTGTTGTACTCACTTCATCCATTCTTCTTGTAAGCAGATCAGATACGTTCTCACAACCTCAGGTGTGAAGTGAGTGCTATCTAGGATACTCTCTATCTTAGCTAAAATGGTTGGTCCTGGAAATAACATGACAAACAAGTAAATAGATTCTGTAATTCCTGAATGAAATATTTATAATGTCTCTTAATAATATTGATAATAAATAATAATAAACAATACATTATACAAAAATAATACAGTATTAATAAAAAAAAACCAATATTATTAACTTGAGGTGTACGAAAGCTCAGTGTTAGCCACTATGTGTACATTGAACCTTTCCGACCGTTAGTCCATGGTTCAATTCTATTGACCTTCTCCTTATGCAAGTTTACAATAGCTCATTATCTTTCCAGTGAGATAACTAGGCCATTTGTCACGAGTGCAAGAAATCCCATGTGCACGTTATAACCAATTAGATGACAGTACTTTTTAAAAGCAGAAGCAAAGGAAAACAACCATTAAGATTGTTTTCATTACCTTTATCTGGCAAAGGTCGACTGCTCGTCATGTTGATGCCGTAACCATGGAACGGACTATCTTTGCTCACGCACAATCTATTAGAGTTTGTCGGACACATATCGGGTGACAGGATGTCCAGTAGAATGTACTGTTCGTTTTCGATGACGTGTGGAGGGAGACCGGTAAACGGAGGAAGGCCGAGGAAATTGCACGTCCATGAGGGTTGGTAGTTCTCACTGAATGAGACTACTTTACAACAACCATTTGGTAGTATACTCTGCAAAGGTGATAGTAAAAAATAAAATTTTAAGCCTTCATAGTTTCTATAATTTGTTCATACTTTTACTGTACTATACTATTCTGTACTGTACTTCAGTGGTGTTTCTAGGGGTATTAAAATGGGGAGGGGGCTGTTATGGAGCCTGATTAGAAAGTGTGAGGTGCTAGCTAGGGTATAATCGATCTGAAGGAAGAGGTTTGGGGAAGAGGTCGGGAAAACTCGGGGAGGGGGATCTCCCCGACGAGCTCTCCCAGAACATAAGACTCTAATATTGATTAAACAAACCTTTTAAATCATTAAATTGAGTTTCCAGGGCAATTTCCCTTTTATTAGGGACTTTTCCCACCACCCTTTCTGGTACTGGTACTGGTATGGGCATTTATAATGCACCTCTTCCTTGCGGAAGACCTTTTCCCTGGTCATTTGGTCTACACGCTAAGTGTTGCTACTGGTAATCAGCACAGGAGCAGGCAACCCCACCAGGCACCCTTTTATACTCCCGGGTGGAGAAAAGCAATGCAGATTAAGTGCCTTGCTCAAGGACACAAGCAAAATGCACAGCGAGGGATTGAAACCCCAACCTCGAGGTTGGGAAACCAACCTCGAGGTTGGGAAACCAACCCGTTTTTGCTGTGCCAAACCCCTTCCACCCTTTCAGGCAAATCCTGGTGCCACTACTGGGCCCCTAGTCACTTACCTTTAGAATATCTAGTAATGAATTAATTGTGTTGAAATGCTGAGACCTCACAATTATTTGATTTCCGATTAAAACATGATGAGCTAAGTCATGGAAATTTAAGCTTCCGAGTACCTTTAACAAAGGAAAAATAAAAACATGTTTTAATGTTTTGAAACAATTATTCTAATGCATTTTTAACACAAAGCAGATAAACAATTTCAATTTCAAGTCATTGGAAAAGTCAACAAATATGAACAAAATTATCTTTTTCAAATAATCTTGAATCCAAATGAAATTATTTAAATAAAATAAATATGAAATTACATTTCTAAGGTCACGTAATGACGTGAAGACAGGTCCATTATCATTACAGGGTTCTTCTACAACTAGTGGGTTAGCCAATTCAATTGGTACATGCTGAAGTAACTCCTCATTTGGGGGTGATTCTGTCTCCTCTACTTCTTTTACCTTTGTGTCAACCATTATAAAACCATCTTCAGTCTCTGAAGAAAAAAAAATAATATAAACCATTTTGTTTTTTATGTTTTCTTTATGTTCAACAAGATGGACAATCAGGCAATCACAGGATGGAAAGATTTAATGCTCTTTGCACTTAAACCCAGTTCACACAATCGAATATTATGTGAAAACTTCTATGATTTATCCATATATGGATGTGAAATGATATCATAATGCCTGTATATGGGAAAATCACACAAACAAATAACACATAAAGCATTCACATTGTAAATAGCAAAATGCCTGATAAAATACATTAAAAATACTATAATGACTTAAGCTGTGTTCACATTGACAGAGTATGAATATACTCTTCTATGAAAAAGATAAAATGATGATCTGTCCTGAAATTGACAAAAATCATCATTTTATTGTGTACTCTTTCAAGGGTAAGGAAGGAAGTCACAAAAAAAGAGTACCGTAAAACCTCGAATAGAAGCCCATCTTGAATTGAAGCCCCCTCTTTAGTTACAAAATTTGCCTTGAAAAACAGCCCAGGGTTCTTTTCAATATAGCATGGGCTTCTTCTCAAGATAGTACATTACATACACTGTACATAAATTTAAAAGAAACAAAATACACAATTAAACACATGCTTGGCTTAATATACAGTTAGGTGATTTAATATACTCCATGATACAGACTGATATTACAGTTGGCCCTATTTATTGTTTTATAGTAGTAATTCCCAAAATTTATGGCTTTCATTTTGAAAAGAAACCCTCTGTACTTTGCAAAAAAAAACCTTATACAGAAGCCCATCTCCAAAAGAAGCCCATCCAATGGGTGCAAAAAGCAAAAGAAAAAGCCCAGAGCTTTTATTTGAGGTTTTACATTATGTTTTGTAAAAATGTTGAAAATAATGGATGGCCCCCTACTGATTCTTACCTTTTACTTTATCTAAATCTACAACAGTTTCTTCTTTTGGTGGACCTTGCAGCACTTTCTCCACAATGCGGCTACCACCTGTTTTTAATATCCATGTTAACGTCATGTGTATATACCGAAACAGGTTCTTATCGTCCGTTAAATCTATCAACGATCTGTAAGTGCTACCACCACGTCGACGGAAAAACTGATCATTGTTGAAAAATTCTTGGTTCATTCTCAGCGACTTCTGAGGCTGTTCTTGCTCGTAAACTTTCGCACCTTTTGTTTGCAGTTCCTTGATCAATGCGCGGACATTTTTAACAAGGAATGGCCAAGAATTGAGGAGGTAGATTCGGTCCATCATGACCACGATAATACTGTAGAAACGCTGAAATCCACGAGCTTTACTGTCTTTCACGAAAAAAGTGTAGCTGAACACGTATCCTTGGTCGTCATCGCCAAAGAAAACTGGGCCCTCACGCCCCTGGCAAACCTACAGTGTTCAGAGTTGAATTGAAACTCTATGTCATGAACCATTTTTAAAACTGATTAAAACTGTCTTTCAATGTTATTGTACTATTTAGAACAACATCATTACATGTTATACTGTACACTGGGCGAGTTTTATTCTTATTATTTATTTAGGCACTCAATACATGTGCCAAAGATTGCCAATAGCGAATATATCACTGTCCTACTTGTAGGTGACAATCCCTTGCACAAGACAAACATACACACACGATGCTTTACACAAACTAAATCTCAATATGAGGTTTAGGGAATGGAGTTGTTTAGGTCGTGAGAAAAAAATCCTGCAACACTGACATTAATTGAACCCAGGACCCTGGGATTGGAAGGCAATCATCTTAACCACCAAGCTATTTAACTCCTCTTGAAAAAAGCGGCCTACTCGAAAAAAGAGTATATTGTCTGCCTACTCACCTCGCAACTGAGGCTCCTCACACAAGCCTGGCGTACAATACTAAACAGTAGAGGCTGGTCTGGATACTGCATGCTAACATAGCTGATGTGTGCTTCATGATCGGTACTGATAAGGCCTGGCTGACCAGGTTGAAATGACCTACAGGCCTAATGAAGATAAACAAAAAAATATTAATAAGGCTTGAAGGTCTGCATCGCAAATTGACTATAATAATTATATACCATGTGGCATGCAACAAATTTTAATTGATGGTATTTCGGTTCTGAGAATAAAATAATAAATAAAGTATTCAATTATATTAATATAAATAAATAATAATTTCATTTTAAATCTAGGCTTTTGAATCAGTGTGTTCACAATGAACATAAAACCACAGGCTTAAAACGACACATGCATACTGCACAAAAAATGACAAGGCTTAAAAGATAATTCAATAAAGCATACAGATATACTTAAAGTACATGTACAGTGTATGTACTGTACTATCTCGATAAAAAGCCCATGCTATCCTGAAAAGAAGCCCATGGGCTTCCTTTCAAGATGGGCTTCTTTTCGAGGCTACTTCTGCAAAATAAAGAAGGGAAGTGGAGGGTGGTTCAATTTGAGATGGGCTTCTTCTTGATATTAGGCCCATTGAGCTTTTATTCGAGGTTTTATGGTATAATGCTTACTTCACAGAGTTCTGTCTTTGGGTTTTTGCCAATGCCACCATGGGATGAAGCAGAGCCTGTGCTGGAGGATCTGGACCGGTTCCAAGGGTAGTAAGACATTTTCTTCACTTTACCGTCCAGCACATCTTGAGGATCATCTGCATGAAATGCTTGAGTACAGAAAAGGATGCTGGGACCGTGCAGCTCACAGAAATGGCACAATGCCATAACAGCATTCATCTTTAGATGTATCGCTAAAAATAAATCAGATTGAGTATTTACCAATTGGCATAACAAAGAGGCCAAGGTCCTGGGTAAGGCTTTTTCTGGCCAACGACCTTGCGGGTTGGGTATGGGTGGGTGGGGTAGGGCCCAGTCTGGGTATGGAGAGAAGGCCCACATGTTTCGGCACTTTTAATCTTTTAATGGCGCATTGATGCATTTTACACGCTTTGCTATTTAAAAGGCCCACCCTAATTGGAAATAGTAACAATTATGGCTGAGTATGTGTTCCATGATACATGTTTGATCCAAAAATCGCGGTAATAATGTGAAGCGCTTAGAGGCTTTAGGCATGAAGGTCTATATTAAAAGACCGACATATTATTATTATTAAAGGAATGAACTGGGTTTAGGCTGGTTTTAAAATGTGGACAGTCATGCATTAGTAATCACTTTTTTTTCACACAGGCTATTGCCAAAATTCTTTTTCCATTAAAAAAATTTGCAAATTCTGATCAAATTCAAGGCAATAATAATGAGTAAATGGGCCCTAATGAATGATATGAAATAACTTTTGTGTTTATACATTATGGAACAGTGAAAGCACAAAACATGGCAACAATAAATACGCTACTAGGCCTGCCTACTTACTTTCAATCTACAAACAAAGAGTAGTTAGGCCTAGCATAGACCTGTCCGCCTACACTGCTTGGCCCTGGAGCTGCTTCACACCGGAAAAGGGGAGGCCTCTACCTACAGGCTAGATTTTATTTGCTGTTTTTTCTCTACTAGTCAATTTAATTAAATGGAAAACTAGTTATTTCTATACTACAATTTACATTAAACGTAATTTTCGAGCTCTACTCACTTTGTTCAGCACAGCTAGGACGAAATAAAGTAAACTTTGAGACGGAAAGCACACATTTTGCAATCGACGACGACTCATTGTCAGATGATTTGTTTTGGTTGGTAAATATATATAAATGCGCGGTCCAGCACGAAGTATTCAATTGTTTAGCATCCGAGACCGCGGAGGCGGCGGATATAAACATAGAGACAGGCCAAGTGATAGTGGCTACATCGTAACTAAATAAAACCATAGAAAAGAATAATTTTTGCTGGTAATCACTGTGTTGTAACAGTTTATATAACATCTGGCTTCTACTCTATGTTGCCTAGCTAAGTATGGATCATCCCTAGCACTGGTAGGACTCTATCAATTAAGGTAGGCCTTCTTATAAATGTTTGTGGTGGTAGGTAGGTGAATTAGAGGAGGCGCGCCTGCCCTACACTACAACTAGACTACTTACATACAGTATTCTATTTAGGAGGCCTAGGCTAGGCATTTTGCATGACTGCTGAGTTCCAGCCTAACTAGGCCTATTTATTGACATTGTGTTAATTTTCCACAGATAAGATAAATGTAAATTTACTGAGAAGAAAATCATTGCACTGCATATGAAAATAGAACAGAAAAAGAAGAAATGGAAGAAATCAAAAGACTACTCAATCTTTATCAAGAAATGGTAATTGATTGTGAAGCTGACCATGATGATGCCAAGGACATGCAACCCAGCTCAAACTTTGAATCTCAAATCAGATTGTATGGCTGCCCTATATTACCACCCTTAGTAAGTTGATATACTGTACAACCCCTGAAATCTTTCAATTTCTATGTCAGACCAGAGAAATTTAACATATTGTTCATATATACAGTATATATATTTTGATGTATATCAATGTTGTGAATTTCTCTGATGAACTTTTTTTTAGATGACAGATGAAAAAAGAAAAGAGATGGCTGCTTTTAGAAATCTGGCAAACCAAAAGCTGGAAGCCATTGAACAACATCGTAAACAGAAACTAATTGATAGAGTGCAGGCGATTGTTGACACAATCGATGTAAGATAATTTTATAATTTATTACGGTAATATTTTTGAAAATGGTTACAACATAAAGATGAGATCTTGTAGTAAGTGAAATGGACCTTTTTGGAATGTTCAAAATTAACAGTTGACCAATCACAACGGGGCCAGGATAACATGCTTGTCTGATAAGCACAGCTGTTGCCCCACACTACGTACATGTTTACGTATACATACAATGTTGTTTTGTGAGACCTTAGAAACAATATCCAATAGGCAGGTCTTTGCAGAAAGGCTTATAAGTTTTCCTCCTTTTTTAAAGCATATTTAAATCTACACATTTTTATTGAAACATCAAACATCAAACCTCAGATTTGAATAACAATAATTTGAATGTGTTACACATTTTTAATTTTAACTAATTCAATTTTTTTAATTGGCAAGTCAGTCAAATAATAGGCCCTGTTAATATTTTAAATGAATAAGTCAACATGTTTTTCAAAAAAGAAATTAATTGTTGACAGCTATTTAATATTCATTGGTTTTAAAATTATTTTTTACTCTAGGACAAAAAATTGTCAGTTCAAGAAAGTCAAGCAGATAGTTCTATTAAAGATATTAATCTTCAGGTGGATCCAAACCATCAGCAAACCTCACAAACTCTAGAGATATCATCACTAAATGTTGAACAAAGACATGTAAATGGAAGCATACTGCCTGTGATTGGTCATGAATCAAATACATCAATAGTGACACTTAGCACAAGTGGAAGTGATAATGATTCATCAGCTGAAATCAATCAGACTAGAGTCCATAAAATCCTCAATCAGCTGTCACATCCTAAAACAGTTGGTTGTGGCTCTACAAAGCCGGAGGAAGCTGCAGTATCAAGCAGTAGTGGCACCGAGAATAGCAGTCTGTTGCAAACTGTGGTTCGTGTAGATCAAGAGGTTGACTCAATTACTGTGCTTGATAAAGACTCCTGTTCTGGAAATGTATCAAGTATTTTGGATGCAGGCAACTTTGAAAATGTACAAGAAACCTTTGATCTGGATAAGGTCAGAGAGAGTGTCAGTGATTCTGAAGCTCTGAGAAATTATGTTGGTGAATATTCTCTGTTGCCAACAATTGGGCCATCATCAACACCAGATCTGTCATTTGTGTCACCAGAAATTATAACCAATGTTGGTCTAGAAGCAGATGTGATATGTGCAGAAAAGACTGTAGATATAGAGGAAAATATTGGAGGAGATGACATGATTGACACAAGAGACAGCAACTTTTCATTAGACACCATTGGGCAGTCCTGCACTCTTCCTGTCAGTTTGGTAACTGAGAGCACATGTTCAACTCTTTATGAAGTGGTCGAGCCATGGAACATACCAGAAGAGGTTGTTCATGATAAAGATATAAAGACAGCATCTACCTCTTCAGAATGTGAAGAGACCACACCAACAACATCACACATGAGGAGAAACTCCTACACATTGGATCATCCCTCCCCAGCCCTTCTGGAGGCACAGGCTCAGAACAGAGCACCACACATTGAAGATAAACCAGCCGATGATCAAGTTCACGCAAAACCGGTTAGAAGAGCTTTGGACCTCTCTGATGGTTTCCAGTCCTCTGGTATCCTTCAAAAGTCAAGTCCAGATAATGTGAAGCTTGATAGAAAAAGTAGTCAAGTACTTCCGAAGACCAATTCTTTTGAACAGACACATAAGACATATCCAGATAATCAGTATGATGTTTTTCAAAGTGAGATAAAGAGTGATGCTCAAAATGAAACAATTGGATATGTTCCATCTAAACCAGCTATTAGTACAATGACCAGTGAAGATGAACAAATGGATAGTAACACTTTGGGTAGTCCCACAATGATAAGTCATGATGTATCTAACAGTGAACCTCCCATGAATGCAATTTATCTCCAGCAGAAAATGGATCTATTGGAGCGTATGCAGAAGGAGATGATGGAAGAACAGCAGAGACAATTAGAATCCCTTATGCAGCAGCAAAAACTGCAGCAGAGGAAAATACAAGAGGAAATGGCAGAGCTTGAAAACCAAATCAGAGAGAGAAAAAACATAACCACAAGTCAGGCAAAACTAAAAACAAATTATGTCAATGCAAAGAGCTCTGAAGGTGTGCAATTTCATTCAAGGCATGATGAAAGAACACTTCCTCTATCTAAACCATCATCAACCATTAGTGGACAAGATAGCACTGGATCAAGATCATCTTTCATCCATGGAGCATCAGATTCTGAGGCAGTTGCCAATGAAGAACACATTGCAAAGTGGACAACACCAACACTTCAAAACTTGAAGGTAAGGTTTAGATGTCTGTTGGTGCATGCTATAAATTGTTACAGACACATTTCTGTAACAGTATTTGAAAAATGACTATTGTTTGTGTAATAATATGTGTTCATATACCAGTTGCAAATGATTGTTCTGGTAAGGACATGGCTTGGATAGACAAGAAGTCTTCTGTATCTGGTGTTCTCTCTCATACAATTACTCTTGCTTGACTTTGGTGAGTTTTTGAAAACTGATGTTTCAACATAGTATGGCTGTATTGTTTTAATATCTTTCTTGCTGTGTATTCTAGGTTCATAATGGCAGCCATTTTGAAAAGGCCTCTGCAGTTGCCAAGGGTTACTTAACAAGAAGACTTATGATGACTGACAAAGTACAATCTGTTGTTAGAACAATAAAGGTAAGGTTTTTATCCCCTCTTCAATTGTAGATATCTATTTTTCCACAATATTAGTAGCAAGTACATGTGCTCTGCTGTAAGGGTTATAATCGTCCTCCTTTTGAGGAAAATGAAGTATAAAGCCTGTTTTTTTTTCTTTAGCAGTTGCTGTGCAACATACAGTAGTTACCATGATATGTTACCTTTATGGTGGAGGTTCACATCATTGCTGATGATAGTGGTATTATGTTGCTTTTCTTAGGAAGTACTTTTTATTTTTTTTTTCATAAACATGGTTTTTTTTGTTTTAGTAATTGTTTTTTTTTCTGAATTGGTAATAAATAAGTATTTTTACCTCTGTGTTTAGGATATGTGGCAGTTTATTTGGCAATTTCAGACAGAGACGCCAGTTAAAAGAGGAGTTATGTCATCCTCAGATACAGTACTAGCCAATAGGGTTCTTTCGCAGGTTAGTATAAACCAATATTTATTGTTGGTGAGTGCAATGGGTTAGGATATTTTTATGAGGTGAATGTTAGAATGACTTATTAAACTTGGCTATTCCTCGTTGAATGGAATCTGTGTTTTCATGGAATTATTCATTCACTTTATAATGTTTCTTTCAGTTGCGAGCAGCTCAGTTTCAACTTCATGACATTTTTTTTGGAATTACAAGTGTTGAAAGAATGGCAATTCTAGCCCAGCAGAGAACAACAGACCAGAACAAGTCCAAGGTAAATTTAAGAATATGGCCCGAGAACATTAATGTAATGTAGCCTAATAATTAAAACATTAATAAAAAAACGATAGTTGTTGACTTGTCCGGTGGAGATAATTAACGAGCAGATCCGCAGTGGTGGAAGTCTGTTCTGGTCCATTGGAGGATTGGGACTACTGGGTGCTCCATTGTGTCGATGTTCCGGTGGACAAAGATAATTTTCCCTCGAGGCTCAAAGATCCCAGATGAACACTTTTTAAATATGGTGTTTTAATCTTATTACACTTATAATTCATTATACTTTTTTCAGAATAGGAGAGACGAAGAAGGCCACTTTGTGTCTGCTGCAACTCGAAAGGCAATGGAACGGAGACACCAAATTAGGTAAATTGTCAAAAATGTGCAACATTGGTGACTTAAAAGGATCACTGCCACCAAAAAAATAACTTCTCAGTAACCACAAGTTATAAGTATTTATATAGCGCCAATTCAAAATTTAAGTTATGAATTTCAGTGAGTTTAGTTGGCAATAATTCTTTCAGTAATTTAAATGTAAAAATAATAATCTAGAAGCCATTCTCATGATTTAAACATTACTTTAATTTGAAAAATGTGAATGTTGTTACTATACTGAAACACAGAAAAAAAAATATCTCTATGACTGAAATAATCATTCTTTCCAGGACTGCAGAAAGTAAAGTCTTTGGGCGACCCCAAACAGCGCCACCAACACACACAACTACACAGAATTCAAAAAGTGGAAAACATGGAAGTAGAGCTTTATCAGAAGAAAAGTGAGTAGTTAAACAAGGAAAGAGTAAATTAACTCCTCTTTAGGTTATGTTATTTAGTACAATGGTTTTAAGAAGATATTAGTATTATTAATATTTGATTGGCCAAACAGTCGAAGTCAGCGACTTCAGTTTGTTCATGACATGAGCTTGGGCCTGAGACAGAAGATCCGGACGAAGTGGTAGTATGTGTAGGAGATCGTAGAGGAGATCCAACATGTGGAAACCACCCCTGTCGGGCCCACCAAGGTGCTACGAGGAGGACCTTGTGTGTGTGACATCTGATATGAGCCACCACCCGTGGAAGAATAGATAGGGATAGAAAGGTAGAGGTCCAAACAACTTCACATGGGATTGACAGGGCATTTGTGGCCCAGGCTGTGGGCTCCAGGTAACAGGAGCAAAACATTGGGAGTTGCGAGGTCGATGTGGGTTTGGCCGTAAATGTTGAATATGTGCCGAGCTACTGTCGAATGAAGCCTCCACTCTGCGGGTAGGAGGGATCGCTGGTGGGACAACGCATCGACGTGCGTGATGTTGTCCTCACGACACCTCATGAGAAGCTGCCACATGTAACAACAAAGGGTTTAAAGACTTGATCTGCTTCTCAACCTTGAGTTTGGAGGTTCAATCCCTCGCTGTGCATTTCTTTGTGTCCTTAGGTAAGGCACTTTACCTGGTTTTCTCTCTCCCCAAAGGAGTACAAATGGGTACTTGGTAGTTACAAAAAAAGAAAACGCTCTGATTATGGCTCCAACATTGAAGCTAAGTATGTGTTTCATATGTGCTTGATCCATTGACTCGGGTAATAATGTGAATGTCACATATAAGATTAACATATTATTTATTGTTTTAGGTCATCAAGAAACCTGAGCAAGTCAGTAAAGGTGAGCCACGGTGGCTTATCTAAGACAAAGAGTAGCTCCCCATCAAGGAAAAGCAGGAAGACATCGCATCCATTCTCGAGACCACTGTCTGCAGCCTCTAAAAGATCAGCAAGAGTTTCTGTTCCAAAATCTTAAGATTCATCCAGTTTAAATTTTAAAAAATACAAAAACCTTGAAAACCTACAGTACTACTCATTACAAATACAGTATAAAGCTTTGAAAATACAATTTATATGAAAGGTGAAGGTACCGTAAATGCGCTTATGTGAGTGCGGCGTTTTTCGAGAGCTTTACGCTTTCCATGCCTGTTCCCGTGTTACCTATTTCACGTATTCCCGTAGTTCGGTAGGCCTATCATAGGTCCTATAAACATTTATAAAAAATGCTTGTGTCTTCAATTTGTTATTTATTCATTTCAACAGTTTACATTATATTTGCAATCCTTTTTCTTAAAGTGTTTCATTACACACAGGGTAATAACTCTTGATTAAGTGCTGCGGCGCTTAAAAAAAAAATCATGTTTGGTGCGGTGCTTATTCGAGCATTTACGGTACATGAAAAAGGTTGTTTTGTAATTATAGCGGAATGAGTCATACTTCGAGTACTGTAGGACCAAAGCTCTTGAACAACTTCACTTGAGGGTTTTAAGATGCATATATTTTTGAAGTTGAGCCTTGAGCATTGTATGTTAGAATGGTGTAATATAAACAAATTGATTGATTGATTGATTGATTGATTGATTTTGTAGTTTTGAAGACCAATCATACTGCTATATTTTGGGGTCTGTCCCATGCTGTCATGCATAAAGACCCAAAATCTTGCGCATAGTAATAATATCCCGTTAAACTTGCCTAAATTTTTATGTCGATCTTATCATACATGCCAAATATTTGTTATTAATTAACCGTCTGTAAGTCAAATTATATTTAAGTTGAACAGTTTTTCAATGCCATTTTGGATTCAACTTATAGGCAAGTTCAACTGTACTTACATTATCAAATAATATGTACCATTTGTGACCTTTGCAGCCTTGTTCTAAAAATTCTTCATCAACAGTACTTAAAAATATCATGGTAATATCATTTATAGGAACAACGAGCTGCACTAGCACTCTACATACTTTATGTCCTTTGATAAAGCGCTGTAGGATGAGATTAAAGAATGCATACACACTGCTAGCTCAGCAGTGCAAACAAATTTGTGTGAAGACGACCTGAAACGCATTTATTCTTAAGTAAAAGGGAAAGATGCAGATCCTGCATGCATTTTCGAGCATATCTGCAACACATATGGAAAGTCTTCAAAGGCACTGCAAAAGCTTCTGTTCTAAGATACTGTACTACCTTAGCTCAGTTGGCTAAACTGGTAGTAGCCATTGTGGGTGCACTGCACCGTGGACATCTCTAGGTCCCCGGTTCAATCCCCATTGCGGCTGTCCTTGTGTTTTAGATGGATTGATAAAATGCCAGTTACGATAGCACACCATCTTTCGGATGAGACGTTGAAGCTGTTGGTCCCGTGTGCATTATGGTCCGTGTGTATGTTAAAGAACGTTGTACGCTATTCGGAATACAGTAGGGGATTGCCTCCTGGTGTACTGCCTGATCACCGGCAGAAAGACCAAACTAGAAATAAGTCTTTAGATTTTTGTGGGTTATCTGTGGTGTTTACACCAAGTAAGTCCATCCATCTATCCAATAAAGATATTCTCTGTGTCAAGCTAATTCCAGGCTGAATGTAGTTTGCCAATAAACAATGGTAGACCCTATAGATATAAACCTCCATGCTATACTTCCGTATCCTTTGAGATGTGTACAAATACTATAAAATGTCCTTGTGAATTTTTGAAGTGACATTCATTTTATACTTCAGTATGCTTCATTAGTTATGCGACTGGTAATTGGTTAATTGATTACCATAGGTCATTGTTTATTGTAGCATCAGGGCACAGATTAGTCTAATCAAATTGTCTGATAATTATCAGACCACAAGCTGTAATCAACACCCCTAAGGTAATTAATTTGTCATTTAAAAACAGGATAGTTAGAACCTACAGTGCTATATTTTGAAGAATAATACAATTCTGTATTGTGATATAATTTGCTTTATAAATTATATGTAATTAATTAAAAACTTTAGTGTGAAAAATATATATTATGTGTAAAAACTTGTGCCTTAAAGCGAGGCTTTTTTTTTTAACGTTTTTTTAGCGAGAACCTGCTGCACACCAAAAATGATGATTTCAAATACGGTAAAAATAAAATTTTACTCGCCACTGCCTTGAAATATCCAAAAAATAAGAATTGCCTATTTCTATTCCTAATTGAGGCATGTTGTGGCAAAATGGCTAAGTTGTAGCAAATATTGAAATTCAAGTTATTGGTATTTTCAGATAAATGAGTATGTGATCTTTAAAATGAGGGGTCATTCATAGAAATTGGACATTTCAATCCTAAGTTATTGGAAAGTGAATGTACAGTAGTCTTAGAATCAAGATAGATGACCACTTCCAGAACTAATACACATGATTAATAAGACAATAAACTGTTGATCTATAGTGAAAAGCAAATTTGGATTTTTAGGCAATTTTTTGAACTCCCATATTTTAAAGCTCATTTACTCAATACTGGACTGTGCAACAACTTAACCATTTCACCATGACATGCCTCAATTATATAAATTTAAAGCATTTAACCATCCCATTACTACAGAGTTTACATTCACCAATAAAATATTATTTTTATGTTCTCCACTGTCTGGATGTTTTAGGCAAAACTATTTGTTAAATAAGAAAACAAAATTTTTATTTTTTTCCCACCCTCCTCTTTAAAAAATTAAGTTCGCGTAATAAGGTATAAAAAAAAGTCTTGCCTAATATACTGATAAATAGTACTGTAATGCTGTAAATGGACAAAAAAAAGATGGAACAAGTTTTAAGACTGTAGATTATTAGTAAATATTCGTGCACCAGTTTCTGGTGAAATCTAAGTTTTTGCTTGTGTATTGATTGAATCTAATAACTGGTGGCCGGTAGCGAGCCGACACAACTTTGTACTATCAAATTCATTCCGTAGTACACAAATAAATTATAACATCGGCATAATACTTCACGACATCAACTTGCATTAGGCTTTGCTTAGTTTAGTTCATTATTCGTTCCTGAGTAATGTCGCAGGCTGGATGAAATCGTTGACAGGACAGAGTTAGTCCATGGCCTGGGGTTGAATACCTTAACTCATTGAAAGTGTGTGTATATTTGCAACAAAAATAAACAATAATAATTCAATATCCCTGTGTAAAGTATTCATTTTATTCAATAAGTTTACTTCCTAATACTCTTTTTTTTTTCTTGTTTTAAATTTATTTACAATATTGTTTTTTACTAAATTGGCATTGAAGCGGCAAAATTCAAAAATCTATAAAAGCAAGGGATAAATATATTTTGCATTGTAAAGGCCATTTCAGTTAATTATCTAATTAACTACATAAACTGCATTGATAGATACACATGTAATCTTGGTGGTATAAATAACGAATATACAATAATCAAAAAGATAAAACCTGTAGTTTATAATAAGTTCCTACCAATATAACATAGTGTTACAGAAGCATAATATATAACTTTTATTAAATATAAAAGATAAGTAAATTGCAAATGATAGTTTTTTTTTTAAAATTTGTTTATGCTAGGTGAAAAACTTAAGAACAAGTTTATAAAATAGTGCTTGGGAATTTATGAAAGATACAAATGCTGGGGAGTCACGCAGGCTGCTGATTGTCGTTGGCAGTCTGAACGTTGTGGCGTTGCGTCGACCGACAACCATTGAACGCAGTAAGTGCCTGGCATAATATTAAAAAAATAAAACCTTAAATCTATATTTCTTGATAAGTTAGCATAATTTAAATTAATACATTTACCCTGTGTCTCCAGAAAACCACTTTGTGCATTAAAAAAAATGAAGTGATAGTAATAGACTATGTTCTGGTCTGCATTTTCTGTTTTCTTAATACAACATTAATTACAATAATATTTACAAAATTTAGGGTCAATTCGTTGAAAAGACGATATAAACTAACAATGAAAATATTAAATATGGATAACATGGAGATGGCAAATAACAAAGACAAAAATGTCAATTTTTAATAATTGAAAGCTTAATAATTTTGGGCTCCTTTAAAATGAGTAGCTGCATTTTAGTATTTTTTCCTCCACTCTAAAAACATCTTCTCTTAAATACAAAATAAAAGTAAAACAAAATATTTAACTGGGTTGGCCCTGCAGGTCTGTTGGTAAACCAACTGGTTAGTAATTGCAGAGTCTTTGGTTAAAAATCATAATAGTAATACAGTAAGTTTTCACAAAAAAAAAAAATGGTATAAAATTTTAATAAAAATTTATAAAAAATATGTAAGTAAAACACAAGACTTTAATTGAGAGTTGTGAGAATAAATGAGGCTTGCTATCCCCATACTAGCATCAGTAACTGAAAATGAAAAGTGGCCTTTTATATGATGGGGTAATTTACTGGAATCGACTGACTATTGCCAAACTTACAGCTTCTCTGTACTAAAGTATATAATACTGCTACATTCTTATGCTAATTTAAGCCTCAAATATCTGAAATAAATAAATAGAAATGAGCATCTACCTTCTATTGAATGTATAATGTGGAAAAAACTTGTAGAACAATATACCATAGGAATGAACAAATACCTCCTCATTTATGGATAGATATATTACTGAAAGCTCATAAAAATTGATTTAATCAAATAATACTATAAAATTATAATTATACATTTACAATATTAAAATAATGGCAATGTTTAAATGAATAATTCATTCTGTTATATTAAGTGGAATATCTGCAAAAAAAGAAACTAAATTAAACTCTTCAGTTGATTCTGAATTGTACCTTCAGTCTCAACAACATTTGTAGTATGAATGTGATCATAAATTATGCTCGTATTTTTCTCCAGGGGCTAGGTAGGTCCCTGGATCTGGGCTAGATAATTATCACAGGATTCAACAACAACTTAAGATACAAAGCACTATCATAAAATACCAATGTGTTATTGCAATCATATCAAAATTAATAGGGGAAGGTGGAACTTTTGGAAAATACAGTGTATACTTATGTAGATGCTGATGTACAGTATTCAACATATGTGGGAAAAATTCTATGCATGTTATAGGATGATTTTTTTTTATATACCACATAAGAGCATGCAGTGATTTATCTAGCAAAGCTGATGATCTGTAACAATTCTAAATACAAGTGGGGCTATCTGTGGTTGTGAGAAAACAGGATTTGAACTTAGGCCCTTCAGACTTAAAGGCAAGCACCATCACTATCAAACCACCACTGCACTTAAGAATTTAAGAATACAAAGTATGTTTTTGGTGTTAATAAATAAATATTACTGTATCAGGAATACCGGTATTCCATCTCTATGAATGAGGTTGAAAGTCAGAGAAAACATACATTTTAGTGATCTTGAAATCAGTGATAGTACTGCAGTTAAAACTATTTACCAGCACATCTTATGAGCATGTGCAGTAGGTTCTTTGGTTTGGGCTATGAATGACTTGGATTTCTGCTGGCTGTAATCACTCCCATGATGGGTTTAGGAATTCAAGGTTCCAAGTTGATGTCCAGGACTTGAAGATCGCCCTCTCTGTATTGAACCTGTATCCGCCCGTGTCTATGGTGTCGTGGTACTGGTACATTAGGCACTGTGGTAGAGACGATGGGTTGTAGTAGCTATATGGTGTAGTACTGTCAGGATTGTTTCTAAAAAGAAATTAACAGAATGATTTTGTTATACAGTATAATAAACCACAATGAGAGGTAACATCCCAATGTGACCCCATCAGTGTGCCCCCCCCCCCCCCCCCCTCTCCCTCCACTGCTATATACGCTGCTGGAAAATACATATTATACATTCGGAAAATACACATTACAGGGGAAGATTTAGGGGGGGCCGGCCCGGCCCCCATTTTGTAAAAAAAAAAAAAGAAAAAAGGGAAGGAAAAGAAAAAAATGATAGCCCAGAAGGCCTCAAATGTTATTTTCGGGCGTCTAGAACACAAGAATTTTGCGACCCCCTAGGACAGTGTTGTCTCAATCGGCCTAACTTTCGGCCCCTCCTTTTGGACCTCTCTGGATCCGCCCCTGCATTATACACTCGGAACATAGCCTCCAACTCAGCAACATTTATTTCACATTTATCCAAGACACTGTTCCACATCAAAATCAAGCATCCATTTCTCTTGGAGCAACAACATAATGTATCTGACTGTTTGAAAAAAGAGCAGACAAAAAAACAGCAGAATGATCAATGGAAAGCTTACTTGCAATGGTTCTCGGGTACCATTCCATAGACTTTGGTGCTGTTACAGAGCTCACCAGCTAACATCACTGCATACCAACCAGTTGAGAACATTCCACCGGATGAAGCTCTACAAAATCAGAATTTGAATGTCTTAATAAAATTTCATTTTAAGGGGGAGGGGTGTTGGGAGGGAGGGGAGACTCACTCAAAAAAATGTTAAATTTAACTCAGAAAAATTGTACAGTATAGCTGAAATAAATATTAATAGAAGATATGAAACCTTAAAATAATGGATTGAATCTAAAAAGGATAAATTATATGTACTGTACATTGTCCTATTTTATGTTCTTCTAGAGAAAAACGGCCTTTTACTGTACCACATATTAATCATCTTTTTTTGTAAATCATTCACAGTAGTATCATCTACAATTTAGTATCAGTTTGGAATGCAGTTGTCAAGTTCATGGGTCATAGGTCTCCACAGAAATGAAATGCTTTCGAAGGAGTGGAGATGCCTCACATCTGTTCTGATAGTCAAGTATGCAGTTGGTAGTTTTTAATTATATCTTTGGCCCTGACTATTGTACACAATAATGTTACATACGATAATCATTAGAATTATTATCAACATCTCTGGCAACCCTGAGAACTCCACAAGTTTGAATAATAGGAAGCTTAAAACATAGACATACTGTATTAATGATGCTATTTTTTAAAATTTTGAGACTTGATAGAAAGTCGATATAAATGACAAGTACAGTAAATAAATTGAAAATTGATTCCCACAAAAAATATGATTCAAATGTTGTTATATTTTATATAGCCTTACTAAAAATTTGTTCTATATCTTCACCATAATAACTATTTATTAAATATTTTATACATCAATATCCCATTTAACATCATCATATTCACCACCATCGTTTAACATTGACATCACCATTCCTGATAATCATCACCTTTCATTGTCATTACTGTATTCAACATTTTTATCACTACTATCTATCATCATAATCATCACCCTTTATTACCACAATGTAATTATTGTCAGTGTTGTTCCCCATCAGCATATCGTTAGCATCAGATATCATCATTAGCATTGTTCTCATAATTATCATTCTCACAGTTCTCATTACTATCTATAATTATCATTGTTCCATTATCATCATCAATCTTACCATCATCGTTACCATCAACTTTATCAAATTCACAACAATTTCAGTAACCACCATCGCTACCTCCACAAAAGGTACTATCATCTTCAACATCACCACCACCATTAAATTGATAGGCTGTAAGCAAAAATACAAGAAAAATGTTCCACCTTGATGTGCCAGTATGCTCTTGAAAAGCCAATTCAGCTTTATTCTCCGCTGTCGGTGAAAATGTATAGAAGTTTGTGTTGGGATACCTTGCTGTCCATTGTTGAACAAGCTTAGCCCCATTGCCTTGGTTGAACTTAAATGACGGCCCATGGAATACGATTCCGTTCGGATGAATTCTATCCAACAAGTCTCTTTCACTTGCTGCTAAATCTGTGAGGCTGTAATAAAAATTAAATAGAAACTATAATACATAAATATTTAATAAGCAGCTGATATTGCACTGAAGCCTCACCGGTTTTGCAAATGCAGTTCAGAAAGAAAAATGTTAAGTAAAAACCTCTGTACTGTAAATTTCAAATTTCTTGGTTTCGTGCATACAAGAATTTAATAATGTTAAGTAATGTACTGTACCGTATTTAACATAGTATTAAAATGTAGATATTTTAAGGATGACACAAACCTCCTATGTGAAACAATTCGAAGGTTAGTCTTCCTCCCAACATCCAACTCGTAACCATCTGTAGGTGCAACATTGAGGCGAAAAACACAGTCTGCATCATCAATAACATTACCAAGGCGTGAACCAATCATATCACCTAAATTAAAATATTGTATATAAATATTTTAAAAATGTGATTCCTTGCTGTAAATGAGAAAACAATTAAGATAATGGTACAAATTGAAAATAAGAAAGTGTGAAAATAAATTAAATAATTTATTAGTGAATGTTTATTATGGACACCTGTTCATAGATATTTGAATCCTGTACTTGGAATTTCAAGACTTATAGTATATAGTTTTTGTGTCTACTGCCCCCAACGGGGGCATAGACACTATGTCATGATGTAGCAATTAAAGATGGCGAAAAAGGATAAATCTGGTTTAGGCATGATGGGTACTACTACCACGAGGTAGGAGTGCTCTATTGACAATCGAACAGCGTTCGAAACTCGAACACGCATTATAGAGATGCTCTCTAGAACATGGTAGTTCTCTTCATGATCAACGACATACTGTAACGTGTAACTCCAAGAGTCACTCATTTTCAAAGTGTTTTTTTTAGTGCAATATAGTAGTAGGCCTATACAGAATATTGTTAGGAAAGAAAATTTTCATGAAAAATCCAGATACACTACAATAATATACACATCTGCATATTGAAGAACATAAGATACAATTCAAAAAACAAAAACTCCTGTATAAGGCAGTAAAAACAAAAACTCCTGTATAAGGCAGTAGACACACGCTCCTGCTTGAGCCTATTTTTAGAAGTTCTTTTACAATCCCCCATTAATAATAATGCATAAAGACCCACCTGTGATACGCACTGTAGTACACAGAACCACTTATAAAGGAACAATATAAATTGTACAACATCCGCTATAGGAAACTGCCAGCATTGAAAACATGGGATGTAAATTAAGAGTTTTATGTTCTGCTTCCCTTTTGGCTTTAGAATAGGAAGTGCAGTACCTGCATTGTGCTCTTATCTATTTAATCTAGCACACCCACTTACAATAGGTTCATAAATATGTAGTTCTGTTCTTTGAAACATCTATTAAAATCTAGACAAAATCTCTAAAAATAATTAAAAACATTAAGTTGCTCATCTGACTTGAGAAACTAGCTTTAACTAAGTAATGATGATGATGATGAGGATGACGACAATGATGAGGATGATGACAATGATGAGGATGATAATGATGAGGATGAAGATAGTGATAAGGAGGATGATGATGAGGATGATGATAATAATGATGAGGAGGATGATGATGAGGAGGATGATGATGATGAAGATAATGATGATAATCTATCTTTTAGTCTTACATGAATGACCGAAAGAGGCGAGTTTTGAGAATGGATCTGGCTCAGATTAGAAACAAGACGGTATGTCTATGAGGTAGTTCATTTCATAGGGATGGCCCAATAGTGGCGGTTTGGCTGGGAGTTCAGGGGAGTAAATAAGTTTGCACCTTGTGTATACATCAAACTAATTTACTTTCCATGCTTACAAACAAGTTATGTGACCAAGAATTTTTTGTTGCATCAGATTGAAACTTATGGATGAATTTATACTAGAAAGCTTGTAATAATTCTACAATGTTAAAATAAAAGGTTTGAATACAGTATTGCTAGTTGAAACAACGTATAACAAAGTCTCGCCTAATGGGGAATATCGATGTGTATCAATAATCATAAATCCTACTCACCAGAATTAGAGACAACTGCACATGTTCCACATTGCAAGTTTAACATTACACCATCTTTGCGTAAGGATAAAAAGTCCTCAGTTGGCCACTCGAGACGGACGTCCGAGTTAATGCCCCGATGGTAACTAAGCAGTTCTCGACGAGCAATAATATGCGGCCTGTTTAGCTCGTTCAGAAGCCTCCTCTTCTCGTAGTTCTCACGAAGATCGATGGGCATATGGTCTACTCGGTGGACATGGAAGTTGGGACCTCTGACTTCTTTCACGGTCTTGTGACGGGACTTGAGATGCGTCCGTGCGGCATCTTCGTTGAAAGTGTAAATCATCAACATAAACTGCATGAAGAACCCGCATACCAAGAATGGTGCTATTTGTTTTATCTTTAACCACCTCATTGCCATCTGAAAAGGAGAGTGCTTAGCAGTTAGCTCTGCCGTATCATGGGGGCAGGGGTAGGCTGATAGGGTGCTAAGAATGAAGGTCACGTGGGTAGGCTTGATGTTTAGGTGAGGGGGGGCTAAGTCGCAAGATAAGAAAATTTCAGGTGAGGAAGGGGGAGGCAAGTATTCTTTGGAGGGGTGGGTATGCACCCCCTGCGTCTCTCCTAGATATACCATTACCACTGGTTAGCATCTATCACAGCGTGAATTAATTGTCAATCCTGAAGTATTGTATTGAGTACTGTATGGTCATTCCACTAACATCATTGGTCGTGCTAGCGGGGATGGGGGCTTTTAAGCTCACTCTCCAACTGACCAAAGATAAACATATTTGCTAGCTCGCAATAACTGATTTATTACTACTGTACTTGAGCAGTGTCCAACCAGTTTGTCGAAATCCAGTTTGCCAAGATCATGTCCACTTATCAAAATTGAAATCATAAATAAAACTTCCTTAACTAATGAAAGAAACTTTAATAAATGTGAGCAAACATTGCACACAAGCAGCAAAACACATTGGACGAAAGTGTTGAAGTTGCAAGTGATGTCCAATTAACAATTTTTAGATTCTTGCCAATACAGTTCACCAAAATCATGACAACTCACTTTGCTGAAAAACCCAGTTCGCTGAAATGCAGTTTGCCAAATCTTGCCTTTATCGTCATACTGAAGTTATGGATAATAAAGTATTCACAACATATTATTATTAATTATTATTAATAATTATATATTATTAATAATAATAATAATAATATTAATTAAAAATAATAATAATATTAAATAAATAATAATAATAAATTAATAATAATAATAATAACTATTATTACTATAGGCCTACCGTGCAACTGGCCTAGCCTACCACCTACTTTATAGATAAGCCTAGTTTTTAGTTAGGCCTAAGGACCCTAGGCCTAGTTCATAAATACCAACACACCACTAATATTCTACTATCTAGGCCTACACTAACAAATAAGATAAGATGATAAGGCCAACAAATCACTTACATCTGTAGCCTAGGCCTATATACCACGGTTTGCCAAGTTAAAAGCGCGACAATAAATGATGCAATAAATATCCGGTCGTGTGTGCAAGTGGAGTTGCTGCCGCCTTTTGTGTAGACCGACAAAAAATATAAATAATTTGAAAGCGGTGATGCCGATGAGTAGGCCCCTAGGCTAGGCCCTAGAGTTAGTGAAGGGGAATGTATAACCATGGAAGAGTATACTTACTATAGTACAACAAGTATACACACGCACTAGAAAAACCGAATGATATGATTATAACCAGCGTGTGGTGTCGGACCAAGTTTGAGAGCTCCGTGTTGATACCAATTCCCAGGGTAGGTACGTGAGTACTTTCATTCATCATATTCCATAATCTTCCAGCATGGTTTGCACGCAAAATAAGCATGACATTGGAATCATCTATTATTCTAAAGGTAAATACTTTCCTCAAATAAAATAATTCTAAATAATGACGAGTAGTTGATGACTTAAAAACTGAAAGTATTGATAAAAGATTGATACTGTGCCTAATATATATATAATGGGAACTTGTTTGTTTTATAATTTGTAATCTATAACTCAGCAGTGCCGTTAGGTACGCCACTTGGAAATATGTTGGGCCACTACAGAACACATAACAGAAAATTTGTTTTCATCACTTTGTATTTTGATTGGCTAATTTCGCATGAATGGGAATTGATCAAAGAATTGGTAGACTAAAAATAGAGGGCGGCAGACAGATTATTAAACTTGGCACGTTATCTGACGCAATGATACGTCCAAATTTCAAATGAAACATTAATAAAATTTTGTATTTGTAAGCAATATCTATTATTCTTTAGTTTGGTTTTAAAATCTTTATGTTTTTCTTGTCTTACTTGCATTCATGAAAACGGTTAATTTTTGCGGCACTCAAAAATTGGTAAAATGTACTATTTTGTGCTACATGATCTTAAAATTGTGGAATTTATATCATGTGTTAGTTTAAGTGTCTAAGTTAAGTATATTATACTAAAATTGTGTTTATGTATGCTTTAAGCTTGCTTATTGTTTGAAAAAAAAACTGTTATTTTGGATGCATCACTACCGGTATTGTATGTGCCACCGATCATAAGGTGATATTCCTTGATTGATTTTGCGAGATTGTGATTAGGCCTCGTCCTTCCCGTACACAACCACAGATTCAGATTCAATTTGAGTACGGTACGTCATTTATTATTTTATATATTAAAAAAAACAAAAACAAAAACAAAAAAACACACACACACAAGTTCCATCAGATAAAATATAGGCTACATGAAAATGGTAGTAAAACGATACAAACTCCAAACAGACATTAACAAGATATTTTACGAATTATAATAATATATCAAGATACCGGTACTTACTACAGACTTCTTCTAAAAGATGCCACAGATGGTGCGGATACAATGTCAGGCCGCAGGCTACTGCAGCTGTCAGTTCCTTTTCCGAAAAAATTGCTTTCTAACGTGGGATTTAAATTTGAACCTTCTAGAGTTATATTCTGGAAAAACTGTACTATACATAAACGTCCATATTAACAATCTGGTCGAATAATATAGATGAGGGATCTTGTATCTGTCTCTTGCGAGTCTGTTCTACATTTGAGGCTGGCAGTACTGACATTGGGCCAAGCTTTCTTGACAGAATATTGTAAAAATATATAAATTGTCACAATTATCAAAAAGAAAAGTAAAGAAGCCAAAAAAAAAAAAAAATAAATAATAATAATAAATTATAAAAAAATAAATATAAAAAGCCCAGAGCTTCTATTCGATGTTTTACGGTATTCAATTAACATACTAAACGGTATGGTTTTAGAAATAAAGATTCAACTTCACAAAAAAAAAACAAAAAAAAAAAAAAAAAACCAAAACAATACAAAAACAAAACAAAACAAAAAACAATATGCAATTGCAACATATGGATTTATCAAAAGCATCTGATGTAATAGATCACGGTATTTTATTAAACATACTGTCTCACTACGGTGTCAGGTGTATTGCCCTGTCATTATTCAACAATAATGAAATCCCGAAAACAGTACAGTATGTTTGTATAAATGGCACAGAGTTTAGTTTAAAAGAGATAATATTGCTGTACCACATTGTTTCTCATAGGTAACGATATTTACAATTCATGTAGGCCTACTGCAATCGAGATGTTTTGCTGATGACAGAACTAGTGTCAAATGTTGAGGTGGCCTTATAGTACTGTCTAACTTAATTATAAGGATTAGGAAAAATAAATTAAATAAATTAGGGAAAATAAATAGTGTTTTAAATTTAATAAGCTTCTACTAAATATTTGCAAAACAAAGATGTTGTGGTTAGGCCTCCACAAAAGCATACCGGTACTAATTTTGACGAATTGAACAATACGGTACCTCACTAATGCCGAACGTCACGTTTCTAGGTGTCATGAGAATCTAAGCTGGAAACAGCATAAAGCTGACCAGCTACAACCTTGTTAGGGCGATTTGATTTTGTCCTTACCGTATTTTAATTAACTTATGTAAAACTTTGATATTCTCCAATATGGAAATCTTATCTGGGCGAACACGTATAAAAGTACACTGAAAACCCTTAGGTGTCAAAAAGGCTTCTCACACCCTGGCAGATATCTGAACCATTAAAAAAATTAATCAATATCCATGACATACAAACTTAATGTTATAGGGCTTTTGTCAAACACTAGACGTGGCGAGTTACCACAACGTATCCTATATATTTTCTCACGTGTGTATTGGAATAATTCTCGCAAAACAAAAATGAAATTTTTGTTGTTGTCTCTGTACTGTAATTCTTAGATGATAAATCGAACATGAATGGAAAATTGGAAAATCTATTTGTTGATCAACTTATAGGTTACGCCTAAATCAAATGACAGACTGCTTGATTGAATGACTGTTACAATTGATTGTTAATTTTGTTGTTTTTTTTATTTTTTTCCTTTCACTGTTTTGATAATTGCTTGTTTGTTTTTCTTTTTGTGTTAGAGGTACATACCGACAGAAATTGTTTTCTTCTGTGTGTTCACTTTTTATTTGAAGAGCACTACCAAATAAATGTTATTGAATTGAACTTAAATTGAATTAAATTGAGAGGGCGCGCTAGCTCGCAACAGGTGATATGAGGCGATGCATGTTGTCTGCCTATATTAGTCTCTTATACACATCT